GCCAAACTCAACTCTGTTGTTGTTTTTTGTTTTTTATTTTATGTAAATTATGACTTTTGTAATTATCGCACTACAACTAACAACAACAAATTGCAGCTGCCATATGCAATCGGCAATCGACAGACAAAAATAAATTAAAAATAATAACGACTTGTAAATATTTGAAGTTTGCGCTTTTAATTAAATGAAAAATTGCAATCAAATTTGATTAACATATAACATGGCAACAAACATGGCCAAAACCAAAACCAACAACGACAACAACAACAACCACAACTAGTGAGTACTCAAAAAGTCGGCCGGCCGAACTAACCGCAGAAGATCCAAGACCAAAAAATATACCAAAACCGTGGAAAAGCGTCAAGTGTGAGGTTCTCGTGTGATCTGCGATCATTATTGCTTATGAGCTTATGAGCAGGCACTCTATATGTTAGTTTGCGAACAGGTCTGCAAATCTGGTAGCTGCATTAATTACAAATCTATTTAAATGAGTCTGACAGCCCGTCGCGCCGCAGGTGAGCTGCAACGAGCCGCAAGTTACGAGCCAAGTGCCAAAGATGATCATTTTAAGTGATGTCGCAAGCATCTGTTGCCAACGGATTTATCTTTAAATGATAATGAGGTGCAATTCCTAAGAATCTACAGCTCAGTAAAAAACTTGGACATGTTGATTACGTTGCGAAGTTAAAGACTTGACGCGACTTGAAGTCTAATGAAAAAGTGACTTTGAACAAAAACTCTTGCGAAGTTAAAAGGAATTCAAAAAAATAATAATATTTTAATAATATAAAAGCAAATTATTTAATAATTAACTTTTTAAATCAAAGTTGAAGTTGAGTTCATGTGTTAATTTGACTAAATCGTTTATGGATGGTTTCTGTAGACAGCTTGACAAGAATTCTATTGTGATCAAGTCTAGCTGCTGTCTAAAAAAAAATTGAATAAAATTAGACCCAGAAGGAGAAAAACATTCTCGTACAATTATTTGGTCATAAACGAAATTTGAATGTGTATACGCAAATATTTTGAGAATATAATTCTCACTAAAAAATATTAATAATAGCCATGTTTCGTTTTCAAGATTAATATTGTGATACAATCATATGTTGAGGATTATTTTGAATAAAATAGTTGCTTATATTTTATTGAATACAATTTTAAATAATTGTTAAATCGAATCTTAAAAAATATTTAAGCCAATGAGTTAGTGGGCTGTGATTCAGACGAGGAGTAATAAAATTCCTTGCATTTTAGTTTTGCAAATTATTACAAATTTGTAAATAGAAAACAATAGCAAACTTCTTAAAATATTGCTCTCAAAGAAACTCCCTCCCAGATCATTCTTGATATTTCTTGTAGTTATTTTTGGAATTTATGTTTGTAGCTTCGACATTAGTTCACTCAGATGTTTTATTGTTTTGAATATGTGATATTATATGCATTATTGATTTTTTCTAAAAATACTTTTTTATTTAAATCAATAAATATTCAAATGAGTTGCTATAAGAATTATTGATTTGATTGCACCAGCCTCAATTAAATTTGCAACTGTCCATCACATTAATAGACAAGATTTTAAAATTATTATTTTACGGCGTGCTGTCAAGTACATGTAATAAATAAATTTATAGTATAATATAATATTAATTTATTACATTTATTAATAAATTTAATGTTCTTATATGACTTCTATTCTGAATAAACTAATAGCGATTACATTAATAGCGTTTTAAATAGAAATCCTAAACTTAATTATTCAAATCCTTTATTGTTTTGACTATTTCAAATGGAATTTGAATACCTTATGACTGTCATTTTCTGCCTCTCTTTAAATACTTTTGATTTGATTATTGAATAGTTAATGTACATTTGATAAGTCCCAATGCAGTTCACCTCGTCGTCAGTCACTTTTAGCAGTTCACGACAATGATCGATCACACTTCACTTCACTTAGCTCATTTTAGCTCTCCTATGATGAAGTACGAGTATGTAGGTCGCTTTTCTCACCCCCAAGTGCAACATCCTTGGCATACTCTATCAATTATCGATTATTCACTGCCATGACGCATCGCAAATGCACTCACACACAGTGAGACTCATTGAGAAGAGAAACAGACAACTAGCAAATTACTTTACAAAATTGTAACATGCACAAATATGAGCATATAGTCGTTCGGCTGCCATAATCCACATCCACAGAGCAATCGACAAGCACACAGAAAACACATCCACCCGCTGCCGAAGCAGCTGGCCTCAGTTAGTCGGTCCTCCCCCCCGTTGATGGCTCGTAGCTGTTGGCCAACTGTGGCGAACTATGGCTGGCTCGCTGGCTCACCTCGCACATCTTGGCCGGCACTTGGGTAGATACTTAAATGCTTACGTGCTGGCTAGTACTGTACAGCCAAATAAAATCAAAAAGCATAAACAATTTATTTTACAAAAATAAAAAATAACTTTGAACTGCAGTTGCACACATCGACTACAGCATCTGTTTTGGCTGCAGCTTTGCTTCTGGCGCAGATTATAGCCACAAAATGACTTAACTTATAAGCAACTCAATGCCTGCCTGGCATTTGCAATGGCTGTTGTTGCAGTTGCAGTTGCTGTTGTTGTTGCCGAAGCTGAAGCTGAAGCTGATGCCGCAACAAGTTCGTGTAATCAATGCAATTTAGTCGCTTGCCATGTCAGGAATGTGGTGCATAGGTCGACTGCTAGTTAGCCACAATGCGAAACACGTCTCGTCCGAGTCTAATTCCAAGTCTCTGCCTCTGTCTCGACTCCGAGACCGAGACCGAGTCCGAGTCCGAGTCCGAGTCCGAGTCTGAGTCTGACGTGTGAACAGACCGCCAGAATATAGAGAGTTGTGCAATAGATCGAGCATAGATTGAAGATTGCACTAACCACGTATATTCGTGGTGCCCACTTGATGGGGCATTCAGGCGTAAATTCATTGCTCAAAGGTGTTCTAATGGTTGCCCAAATGAGCCCCCGATGGGCCATTGTGTACAACATGTCTACATGGTAGCACTAATACTTCACCTGTTTGATATTACAAAGTAGATATTACCTGCTATTAAACGCAGCTACAGTTACTAACTAGAGGTGAGAGGCGCAAAACAAGTTACGATTGCCAATTGCCAAGAATTCGCCAACGAACCGACAAAACCTTACAGAAACTTGTTTGGGGTGTTACGAATAGATTCTATGAGCTTCAGATTATCAAAGTGTATTGTTATTTGCTGCATTTCCAGTTCCTTAATCTTCTTGTCTAGTTTTAAAGCATATTCATCATCTATTTGAATAAAGACATACTTATTGTTTCGATTTGATATTGAATAATCCAACGTTTGAATATTTGAAGCTTTTCATAAAGTTAAATACTACCAGCATAAATTTGTGCACGGTTTTGACTTGTTCCACTGATTGATGTCAATCCTAACGGATTTTATATTAAAGACATTAATTTCGAAGGTTTATATCTAAACATTATTGCTGTATATATTTATAAAATTACCGAATTAAAATTTGTTGTATTTATTTTTTTACAATAACCCATTAAAATATTGCCTATTTCTTAGAAGTTTTTCTTTTAATTTCCTTTGACAAGATAGTTAAATTTCTGTTACCTATTTCGTTTTTACATACATATGTATAAAGTTTCTGCAGCTGTATATTTTTGGGACAAATTTTATTATAAATATTGGAAAAATGTGAAAAAAATATGAATAATATAATTTGTTCAAGTCCTAGTAAAGCCTTCCCCTTTACATCGATTGCCAAAAGTATTCCGAAATCCTTTCTGATTTAAATGTAAAAAACCTTTTAGTTCTCTTTTACACAGAATTGTGTAATAAAATTAAACATCTGAAAATGCCTTGAGCTTTTTATTAACCAAAGAATTGAGCAATTTAGAAATTATATAAAATAAAATATCCGTTGCTGGATCCACTTAAACATCATTTAGCTTTGTAATTTTGTACATCACGGCACATTTCCCAGATGACTTAACCGCCTGGCCATAGAGTTTTTCTCCGATCACGCGCATCTCACATTAGTTAAGTGTTGTCTTATGAGGCAACTGCGGAACACATTCGCTCGACCATTAGCAGCTTTATAGTTCGAATCAGCAACGAGTTAAGTGAAGCATACGTAATTGCACTGTTTATGCTGTGGGCAATGAGTTACACCCATGTCTGCCTCAAGGCGACCCTAAAGCAAGGTTCTTTAGAGCCCGTTTAGCCGGCCGTCAATTGCTGTTATGACCTTTTGTATTTGGCTACAGCTTGGCAAGCAGCTGTTTTCCCGCCACACAACTGACCTTAGCAAATCTTCGAGCCAAAATTATAAAGCTGCAAGCGATGCTATTAATAACTGCCCAGCGAATTTTGAACAGTGCATTGCGAGAGAGAGGGAACCGCGGCCCAAAGAGGGCCAGAGTGCCAGAGTGGAACCGAGCCGAGATTCGAGAGCTGTGCTGCAGCTCATTAAGCGACCAACGAACGGGCAACAGCTGTTGATGTTCGCTGTTCAGTGCTTTGTTGTTCGTCTCTTTGCCACAGTCTCTGCCCAAGCTGCAGCTATATGGGGGCACTTGAGCCGCACTTTGCAACGCCAGGGCAGACAGGCAACCAGCCAAGACGCGGCTCTAAATGAAAACAAAAGTGAAAAGGTCAGCACCCAGGCAGGGAGTCGAAAATCAACAAATGGCAGACGCAGACAAAGACGCAGATGCGGAGCTAGATGAATATGAAGCTCCGACACTCAGCCAAGTGTAGCGCGCCAAGCTCAAGCGATTTGCTAGGTATACTCTTACTAGAAAGAAGTATCACACCTAGCTTAAAACTTGACTGAACAATATGAAATAGTTATACTTTTATATATATTATATATCCTTAAATAGAAATCGACAGCTTTATGCTATTAAATTGAATATAGCAGCAATTCATAAAAAGCATATTTCGTGTTCTAACAGCTTTAAAGTTATTTCAAATGATCTAATAACTCAACTGGCCATTTTTATTTGAATAATTAACTGCTGTCTTCTTTTGACTGTTGCAATAATAAGTCTCAGCTCTTTTGATTGAATTGTTAACAATAAATTGTTGCTCAAGCTCTAACCAGTAAAAGACTCACATTATGAGCATTTTTTAAAATCATCCCTTTACTTATCTACTTAGTATACGATCAGCATAAAATTGATTAGTACAAGGATTATTCTGCAACTCACCAAATGTTTTTCTAAGTCTTGACATAACATGTTTAACAAAATAATACTTATAGCTATTAAGCTATTTAGATCAATGTCCTCCTCAGTTCTAAAATTGTGTTAAATTTTTCTTTATAAGGTACATTTGTAGTGTATTTCTAGATTTTGTTGGGCCTTTATATCTCTTTTTTTTTGCCCGTTATTGGCCGTTTTCCTGCTAACAAGTTGCGCATGCGCTTGTCTTGGCCCAGAGGCGCAACATTTGCAGCCAGTTGCGATTTGGCACGGCTCAGGCTCAACTTGACTCGTTGGGTTGCCCAATGTGCGAGTACTTGCTAAAGCCATTCGCATTTTAATCTTTCTAAACTATTGGGCAATACTTTTGGGGCATCTGGAGGCCAGGCCAATATGCGATTATCTACTGCAGTTGCAGTTTGTTGCGGATGGGAAACCGAAATCAAAAATTGCGGCAATTTGAAGAAGCTAAACGTGGTTTTGTGGTCATTAATTGTGCCTGCTGCTGTTGTTGTTGTTGTTGTTGTTGTCGTTGGAAGGTGCTTTGTTGTATTTAATGGACTGGGAAATTAGGCAGGGGAAAAAATGCGCGTAATTGAAGAAGCAGCCGTGAACTGGCATCGAGCGGCGGCTGAGTCGAACCAAGTCGAGTGACAACTTTCAAATGGAAATGAATTATTGGCAGCACTTTCATTTTGTGGCACATTTGCAATCCGATTTCCTTTCCCAATACATTTTGCAGGAGACACGACCGAAATTTATCCGAAGCCAAAAACCAAACAACTTTGACTTGAGCCCTCCCGAAATTGGATTTGGATCTGCCGCTGATTCCTTGTGATCGCTCTGACATTAGCAAATGCGGCACAAGAGTCGACGCGACGTCTGCTTTGAGAGACAATAGCAATTACACCCAGACTACAGACGCGCAGCGATTGCTTATGTAATCTTTGCCAGCAGCCAGTCAGACAGCAATTGACATTTGGAGCTAAGACGAGGGCGCAACAAAAAAAAAATAAAACAAAAAAGTTAAACCTCGCTAGCTGCTGATCATGGACGGACACAAGCCGCTTGAAGATGCCGCTGGCTTGGCTAATAATGAGGCATCATCAACAGCAGGCAGCGTCAACGGGAACGGTCTGCGTCGTCAGCCGACCAAATATCCGCACGGCCTCAATATAACTGTGCAGACCATCGATGATGCCAAGGCTGATGACTACTCCCGCGCCTCCACATTAAGGAGCAGCAGCAGCGGCAGCGATGCCGAGTCCTGCTGGACCGACACCCAGAAGTATCGCATCGGCATGCTGGGCAGTCCCGAGACGCTGGCTGAGCTCCAGGTGCGACGCTATAAGTATCCCCTGACGGCCAACTATTATCTGAACCGGGCAGCTCCCTCCGCTGGCCAGCAGCAGCACGAGAAGCCCACGCCCCTGATGCTGTTGGGCTATGCCAGGCGCGCCTGCCGCTGGAAGTATCTGCGCTGGCCCATCATCTTTGTGGCCAGCGTGCTGCTCTTCTTCGGACTGATCACCTACTGCCTCTGGCTGCACGACGTCAGCGTCGCCCGAGCTCGTTTCCTGCAGCGGCGCTACGAGGCGACCAGCTCTAGCTCGACCACAGAGTGGGAGGGCCTACTCGATGAGGAGACCACGGAGGTGTTGGCAGCTACCACAGCGAATTCCAATGTTATGCAAGAGTCAACGCGACTGAGAGCTATCGAAATAAACAGGGAGCACACGACATCCATGTCCGTCGCGGAGGCGGAGACGCCCACGGGAGACGATGACTATGATGATGTACTGCTGCCTGCAGACAGTATTCGCTTCACCTCTGGCCACCAGAACAGCTTCGGCGTGCCCATCGAACAGGATAAACGAATGCTGCAGCTACTCAAAGATGTAAGCATTCAACGCCAGAGTATTTGGTTATAAAGTTGCCAGCATCTTTGATAGAGGATGACAAACGAATTTTAGTGTTTTCCCCTTTTAAAATGATTGTTAAAATTAACTCTGACATTCCATTTAAAAAGCGCACTTTCTCTTCTCAAAAAAATTACATTTTTTCTTTCTATGCTACAATTTTGAAAACGAAATAATTTATTCACACGTAATTTTAATTTTCTAACGATAATTTGTTTCCCCTAAAGAACTAAACAAGTTCCAATTTTTGAGTTACCCAGCTTCACGAAAAACTTCAGAACCTTATTAGTGCCGCATTTTATTTTTCTCTATAAAATCGTAAATATATTTTTCATATGCAGTTTCCGTTCCATTGTTATCTTAACAAGTGAATAATTGAAGAACTAAATTAGTTCTAATTTTCGAGTTTCCAATTTAACAAAAAACTTTAAAAACGTTTTGAATGATTCCACGTCTTAAAGTAAATATTTAACAAGAAAATTGGTTTTTCTTCAAAAAACCTTCATCACATGCACTTTTGAAGCTATTGCCGAAACCACAGTCCACACCCCCCGCCAATGTGCATCTGTTGACCCGCGTGTCGCCGACTCTGCCACCGCCCTCGGGGGTCAGTGGCAGGCCGACTGAGGCGATGACCACGACGCCAGCGAGCAGCATTGGCAGCGGCTGCATCTCAACGGCATTGCCCATGTGTCGCGGTGTTCTGGACTATGATCTGACCTACAACAATGGGAATGGAGCGCCACGGGACGCCGCCTCAATGGAGGCCTATGAGCAGCTCATCAGCGCCAACTGTTCGGCACGTGCCGTAGAGTTTGTCTGCGCCGCGCTGGAGCCCGAGTGCCGGCCCTTGCACATTGGACAGCTGTCGCCGTGCAGGCGCATTTGCAAAGGTAACAACGCAGCAGAGAGAGTTGGTGGAAGGATGAGGTGGTGGCTCATTAATCAGCTGCGCTGTTTGCTTTAGCCATACTGGAGGCCTGTTCCATTGTGATCGCGAACTCGGACCAGCTGAGTGAGCTGTTCGACTGCAGCCAATATCCGGATGCCCATGAGACGCACAAGTGTGAGGATCCCACACGCAGACGTAACTTTTGCTATGTCAATGAGTTCCAGTGTCACGACGGGAGCTGCATTCCGCAGCAGTGGCAGTGCGACAACATCAAGGACTGTGCCGGCGGCGAGGACGAGGATGAGCAGTGTCTGGTGTGCGATCACGAGGAGTTTCGCTGCCGCTCCAATGAGAAGTGCATACCGGAGAATCTGCGCTGTGATCTCAACTATGACTGCTTCGATGCCAGTGACGAGGAGGATTGCGACGAGTACGGCTCCGGCGATGCGGCGCCCTTTGACGAGGCCGAGCTGAACGCCTTTCCGCGCATTTTCTCCTACGCCAGCTTCCTGTCGCCAAACGAGACGAACGAAAAGCTATACACTTACATCACAGCCACCACGGATGAGGAGGCCGGCACTGAGACCAAGTTCCAGGTGCATCAGGTCGCAGCGCCCGCGCCAGCAGGGAATGCCAGCTCAGAGGAGCCGGCAGCAGGTGGCGGGCCCAAGGGCTTTGGTAAGCTTTGGCTTCAATTCATTCCACATTTGGCTCATCTCTGCACGCGCTCTAGTTAACTTTCGGGACAGCAAGGAGATCATGATGACCAGCGATTCGGAGAACAAGTTCAAGTATTCCGCCCAACGTGCCAATCGCACCACTAGCAAGTTCAGCATATCCACAGCCACGGTGCCCACCCGAACCGCCAGTGCGATCCCACCCTCGGCTCTGGCACAGCAGCGCGAACGGGAGCGCATCGCGATCAGCAGCTCCAGCAGCAGCACGAGCACCACGTCGAGCACCATGGCCACCCCCACCAGAGCACCAGGACGCTGTCTGCCCCACGAGTTGCGCTGCGTAAGTGGCAAGTGCATAACCGTTGATCAACTGTGCGATAAGGTAGGCAATCCATGGGAATTCCGGGACTCCATTCTCAAAGCATACTTTCTTCCTTTCCGTTGAGCACAGCAAATAGACTGTCCGGATGCGGCCGACGAGATCATGTGCGTCTATCGCGAACGACCCAGCGTGCGCGGACTAACCACTACAACAACAATGAAGACCACGCCCACCACAATACTAACAACAACAACAGCACCAGCAATAATAACAACAACAACAACAACAGCAGCACCTACAACAACGCCGCCAATGACCACAACGAGGCGTTCGGTGCGAACCAGCCCGAATCGAAGTCGAAAGCCTAAGTCCTAGACAGCTAGGATATTAGCTGATGTACATTATATCAAATCTTATACTTATATTAATATTTATATATATCTTTCTCTTTTGTATCTTTCGAATGCGCGCTCGCTATATGTATGATATATTATTGGCTAGATCGTAAGTTGTTAGTAGATTGTTTGACTATTTTTATGTACCAACTGCCAGACGTGTGTTTGGTACGTGTGTGTCTCGTAGCAATAATAAAGCTAAGATAATAGATAATCGACGGTCAAATATGGGTAAGTGAAAAGGGCATAAAACAGCTCCAGATAGCTTAAGCGCTCCGATTTCTATTGTTTTCTCTTTTGGGCTACCTTGGCAGGAGCATAACAAATGTTCCATTGTTTTTTCTAGTAAATAACCAGAGAGCGCCACAACAATCAATAGCAGGCCTCTCTCCTCAATTCAAATTCCGTACAATACCTTTGAAATTTCAAAATAAAATCGATACAAATAAAATATAAAAAGAAATAACAATTAAGCCCTGGACAATATTACAATTTCACGGCGACCTTCAAGGCGAGGCGTTGCCGTCAACCCACGCACCGAAAGTCATTCAAGACCTTTGCCCAATTCAATTAACAGGCCCATTGTCCATTATCGGTATCGGGTAGAGCCCATTATCTACACAAGCACGGCTGACTGCTCCGAGTGTGCATTAGAGGCACAACCACATGACATTCACCCACACACAAAGCGACTAGAAATGTAACATAATAGCCACTCAGGCTGCGCCACACGACCAAATGCAACACGGAAGACAACGGGGAGACAACACGTAGGCAACGGAGAGACAAGTGACAGCGGGGAGACAAGTGACAAGGGGAAGACAACTGGCAACAGACAACATCCAACATTTGGACCAAAGCACTTGTCAAATGAGCGCAGCAGGCAAATCCACAAATGCCAAGCAGATTAAATTGCAGTTCAGGCCCAAGTGACAAGTTTCAAGCCGCGCCAATATAGAGATGAGCGTATGAATAATTCACGAATTATAAATTTAAAACTCACGAATTTTCTCTTGACAATGTTTATAATAATTTTTCTGAATTATTATTGTATTGCATACATATTAAGGGGAAAACACTTTTAAAATTTTGAAATATTTCACTTAAATACTGACGTTAAAAACGTTCCAAGCAGAAATATATATTGGTTCCTGATTTAATGACTCTAGCTTCTAAATTGTGAAAAGCTTCAAATTTATATTAATTTAGTTGGTGCCGAAATATATGCAGGCAGAAATACGTTTTCCTAAATTTCAGAAAATCAACATAATAATAATTTTCCAAATTTTAGAAAATTTTCTTGGTAAATCATCAAAATGATAGATTGTTTCTTGTCCACTATTCGATATTTTTGACCATATGCCATATTGAATACAATGACATATATGTATTGATCAGGGAGTTGTGAAATTTTCCGTGCTGAATCTAGGAAAAGATTTGTAGTACCTTTTCAATTATGTCTTGCAACTAGTCGTGTGTATTTGTGATGGTCGTGCTTTCGTGTAGATTTTACACGCGCCCAACTCTAAGCCCAGGTCTTAAGTCCACATTTGCAGCCGACCGGACGTTGACAGCTCTGCAGTGGCCACATACCAGAGCACTCTTTTGGCACAGGGGCTGTTCCGAAATCGGTAACTCGAGCCAAAGGACGAACCCGAAGCCGAATGCTACCACAGAAGTTAAATGCATTTTGATTTCACCCCCCTGACAAAAAAAAAAAAAAAAAAAAAACAAAATAAAATAGGGAAAAAATCAGACGAAACGACCTTTTTTGTTGGACTGATTTTGCTTTTGCTGCCTTCTGATTGATTGCCATCAGAGATCCGCTTTTGGCATGACGGCAAATGCGATTTGATTGCTGCCGTTGTTGTGTCCTGCACAATGACAATAACTATTAATATATGTTTTCAGCAATCCCTAATCCTGCGAAACAACTTTCATGCGCAATTGCATCATCAGTTGCAGTCCCAGTTTCCGATTAAATTGCAACGCAAAATGGGATAAAAAACGAACTTTTTTTTTCGTTTCTTTCTTCCTGTGTTTTTTTTTTCCAACTTCTGTAATTTTGGGTTATCGTCGGGCATTTGATACATCTGATTCGTCGCCCATTTTTGACAGCTGTCCCTCGTCTACATTTTCACCTTAATTAAGTGATATTAATCGTTTCGCCAAAATACAGAAAAAAACGAAAAATAATATACATTCTGAACCCTAACAACAACAATTTATGAACGCCCTCTTCAAAAAGGGCTGCCTACACTTTAGCGGGTGGGCGTTGACCTTAATCTGACAGCCGAAAGCCGGCTAAAAGGAAAAGCAGCAGTCATTTTGTGGGCATTAAAAGCTTTTCACAATTTCACTTGGCTTGTCCTAGGCCTCGTCTGAGTGTTTGGGCACACGCATAATTTTCATTTAGTGCCCCTTTTGTGTACCCTTTTTCTGTTGGCTGCTGTGCGACCCTTGCCAATATTGTTAATGGACCCGATTGTAATGGGCCATTTGGGTTTGGGGCTCTTTGGCTATGGCCATATGTGCGCATATGAATGTGTTGTTATCTATGCCTGGCCAGGCCATAAAATTAATGGCTAGTGCGCTGCCAAATGGAGCCTTGAACCAGCATTAACCCAGTGACCTTTGCCCCAAACGACAAATTAGTAATTGAAATTTGAAGTTCAAGTTAAGTGAGCTCACTCCAGAGACTAAGACAAGCTTTTGGTCTTTGCACATTGTCACGCACAAAGCCCAAAAACCTATGGGATAGAGGGCCAACTCTTTTAAGTCGAATACTTTTCAAGTCCAACAGGTATGTCATGTTAATCTTCATTTATGTTAGCACACCCAAAGCCGTATCAGTAGACACCCAAAGACCTATCGGATTAGCTAGGCCTTGATTTACCAAATTTAAGTTTTAGCCGACCGCTTACTAAACTCTTAAATTATAAAAGTATTTGTTATAATATGCAAGCTACAAACTTGAGTAAAGGCATTTGAACTTTAAAGTTAATACAAAAGTCTTAAGTCCGTTCTTTAATATGCTAAAAAAATGTAATTCCGACAAGTTCTCTCGACATGTCTAGGCTCTCCCATCTAGATCCTTTACTGAAAACAAAGACTTTTTTTACTTATAGAAACTATTTTAGAAACTTCATCCTCAACGCTTAAAATTAATTCGACAACTTAGCTTTTGCTTTGAGCCTTCAAAGACTAATAAAGTTCGTTAGCTGCAAGATATTACCAATAGATCACATCTTATATATGTAACATTAAGTTGAGTAAATTTTAAAATATTTAAAAATTAAAAAATATTTCAACTTCATAATCTTGCGTAATGATACCCCTTCTGAGTCTTTGAACTTCAAACATAATTCAGCTTAGCTCAACTCTTAACCCGGCACATGAATGCGTTAAGCATTAGGCTTAAGCTGTCTTGACAAGTCCTGTCGGTCGTAACTCTAGGGACCTATCGGACTAGCTGAACTCTTAACCTTAAGTGCCAAACTCTTCAACTAAATGTAAGAAAGAGAACCCGTTCTTACATTTCATTTTAACCCTTGGGTGACCTTCTGCGTATCCTTCGAGGCGACAGCTCTCTGGAACGAGTCTTGGCGCAGCTACTGGCATGTCCCGTCGTGTGCTCTAAATGCACACCCGTAATTACGAGCTCATCATATCGTGCGCATAGTTACGCTTGATCGTTTTTAAATTGCGAGCGGCGCACTTCCGCCCAGAAGCAGAAGGAGAGCATGAACAGAAGCCGACCCAATGTGGATTTAATGGGCGAAGGCAATGTCGGCACTTCAAGAAGTTGACATAATTATGCCAGCAGCAAGACACCATCGGGACGTTTATCGTTGATTGTGCTACCCCCTTTGCGCAGGATCTAAGGAGTCATTGTCTCGGGCAACGGGCAACCCTTAGGCCTATCAAGAGTGCAGCCTGCACCCTATACTCTTTGGCCTGCTGGCTTGGGATGCCGATAATGATGATTCTTATGCTGAAACATTCCATTGCGACAGTTGTTACTGTTGCCCAAGGAAATGGGCGTGGCACGCCCCACTGTGATTTGCATAGCTGTCAAAAGCGACACAAAATCAACGCTAAGTACAGTTGGGTCATTCAAGCAGAGCGAGAATCTCGAAAATCATTAGGTGCATTTTCCAATTGATTTCACGCGCTAACCACAAGAAAAATCAAATAAAATAAAATAAAAGAAAAAACCAAAATCGAAATCGAAAGAAAACAAAGCAACTCTCGACCAAAATCAATAAGCAGCAAAAGGCAACAAACAAAACCGAGAAGAGGCAACCGCAACACGAGGCAAACTCGCAACAAGGCGAAAAGATTGCAAAGTCCGGACCCATGTAATGCCATACTAGCATATTCCATTCCAGACCCTAACAGACCAGACCCCATCAGGCCAGACAATTGTTTCATTGTGACCAGCTTGTCACGTAGGGAAAGCCAGTCGGCTGCTGCTGCTGCGTTTGTCGTGTCTCCTGTCGCATTGTTGCAAAATTGATGAGGCGCAATAGATTTCCGTATGCCTGTGCCTCAGCTGAGCCCTGTCGATGATGCCATCCCAACCATCCCTAGCCGATTGCCACTGCAAAAAATTAGACATGAAGTGTACCCTTCAATATGCCGAATATTTTATGCTCTTTTCTAACAAAAAGTCCAACACTCTGAACGTAAATAAATATTTATATATATACTAAATGGCATGAGGCAGTATCTATGCACGATACATTGCGTGCCTGGATATTATATATTATAGTAAAATTGCAAATATCTGCTGCAATACGTTACGCAATTCATGACACAATTGTAATACCCTTTGCAAGGGTATAAACAGTAGGAAAATGCGGCAATACAAAGTGAAAATTGCTTCTGGGCAGCATCTTTTTACGCCTGATTGAAACTCAAAAGTGTTTTGGACTGCCTCTAAAACACACGTGATGTGTCTGATGTGTGCGGCTCTTGCCTCGGGTTTTGCCATTGATTTGAGAAGGCTGCTGCCCCCACACACACGCACAACCCAAGTGCTGGGTGCCTCACTCACCCCACGAGGCGGCTGAATGTAAACAAAATGTGTCGAAAAAAAGCAAACACCACACGTGGAATGATTTACGGGTGCTTTGGCCGGGCAACAACAGAGGAAGGGCAGCCGGATATCAGCATAGCAGGATAGCGGGATGCAGGATGCATTTGTCAACTGATTTGCATAAATGGTCATTAAATCATGTCGCTGGCCAATAGTTGTTGCCATGCTCAAAACTTGCTCATGTCCAGTTTTTAGCAAAACCCAAAAATTTCAAAGTCTCCCATCGTTAATTGTCGTCGTCGTCATCGTTGTTGTGCCTCACATGGAGCGGATTACAACAACAAATACAATTTGCCGACGCTCTGAATGTCAAGTTCAAAATGATTTACAGACTTTTTGTAGCGCCCCTTTGAGGGGTAATTAATTGGCCAGCTGGAGCTGTAACTGTGCAAAAGGGGTAAAAGGTTGGGTTTGGCATTGCCAAAGCCAAACAAAATGTTGTTAGTTGGAAAGATGAAAAAGAAGCCAGTGAATGTTTTTATAGTCATGCCGACATATGCTGATTTTGGCCCTAATGAGCGGCCACTTTGGCAGAGCGGATGAGCCAGCGGCTCATTAGGGCCAAATACACGAAGCTGCAGAGAAAGCCCCATGAAATATGACCTAAAAAATATATATACTCAAGAAGCATTTGTCCTGATCCGCCAAAAATAGTAAAAAAAAACTCAACTAAATGCCGGAACTTGGCTTGAACCCATTTACACACAAAAATGATTCGAAACTCGAAAAAATCAGTAAATAATAAGTGAAAATGTGGGTAAAATAAAGCCTCTGCAATTGGCTACAAAACTACTTTTGAATATCTGCGCATAGAATAATTTCTTATAATTTATCACTGATAAAATTATTTAGAAACATTTAGTCCGAACAAAGCCGGCCAACCGCAGCTAGAGGTTATATAAATCAACTACTATTGTAATGCCCTAAAAGGATACTAACCCATTGCCCATACCAGATATGGACAGACCTAATGAAGACAATCGTTAAGCAGCTGTTCGCCCTCTGACGATGACAACTTGGCAGCAGGCACTGTCAATGCTACAGCTACAGCAATAGCTTCAGTTACAGATACTTTGCTTCTACATCCAATGAATGGCCCCATGCACATAATCTCAAAGGCGCGGCAGTTACAAAAGCCTCGCATATCAATGACTAATAATCCAACCATGGCCTCGACTAACAATGCAATTTTCTTATTGTTGCAGACAGATAACGAGTCGACAGAGAGGGGGAGAGAGAAGAGAATTGTGGACAAGAACAGGACATCTGTCATTCAACTCATTCAAGTCATTCGGTCTGTGACAGTCGCTGCACATGACTAATTATGGATTGCAGCTTGTCCACAATACCAAGACCATGACCGAACCTGACGCCGAGCTCCTTTTGGCCAGAGCTAATGATGCCTGACAGACACTGACGCGGTTCGGGCCAACTTATAGGTTGCCGGGTAGCGTGAAATATTTGCCATCAAAATAGATACAAAACATGCTCATAAGATACAAAACAACAACAACAGCAACAAGAACAACAACACGCAGAATAACAACACTTACAAAGTAAATTAACTTTTATCGAAGCATATTTTTGCGCCCGCTTTCAATATCAGGGTGTAGTGTGTGGGGGGAGGGGCAAATCTTGAGGCCTGGGCCTGGGCATGTGACTGACTCAGCAGCTGCATAAACAAATTGCAGTCAACATTCATAATTTCCTGTTTAAATTAAAAGTCGGCCAAGAGACCAGCAACTGCCGCTGCCGATCGGCTAGTCACATAAACCATTTCCTAGTGACAAAAAATTACAGCTCCGAGGCCGGCCGAGTGAGAAGGAGAGCGAAAGATCTCAAGACTGGCCCAAGACCGCCGCGGCAACTGCAAACCACGCACAAAATCTCAAAGGCAGGCAATTAAATGTCGCCTTCAAAAACCGAAAATCCAAAAACCGGCGACCTGCTCGGTGACCACAGCAGGCGATCTATCCAACTATTATGAAAAAAAAAGCTCATGACTTCCAAGCCAACTATTTTCAAATATTCAATTTTCAGTGTGCGTTTATTGATTTTTATTATTAGCCACAAAAACCAACGACAAAAATGTAAATCGATATCGATACGACGACCAAAATTATGCATTTGATGCCAATTTGACGATTTGCCGATACGTTTTTACGAGCTACTCTTAAAACCGACCAAGAAGTATTCCAACTATATCATGCCGTTTGCTTAAGTGGGGGCGGTAAGGTTACATACTCAGAGATCATTAATATAGCCAAAAGGTAATATGCCTAAATTAATAGGTAGATGGATGGTACATATACATGAAATAGACTTCGCTAGATGAATTATCAACTGCACAACTAGATCATAGACTAGACTATTCAAGCTTAAATGTAAACGCCAAAAGGGTTAATGTTGAATAAATTTCCAAGGTTTTATAGGAACCCAGATATATCATATTGACTCCCTTTAAAATTTGGTGCCCCATCTTTCGCCTTCTAACACTTTTTACTTCGTTTGCATGCGTTCCTCTTTTCTCCATCTTTCCTATTTTTCTTTTCTACTCAATATCTCTTCTATTAATCTACGAATTCTTATGGTTAGCCAGACAGTAGAATGCTTGCTGCAAAATATCCTTATACTACTTTTTCCTTTAGTAACAAGAATGAAAATTGATCAAAAATATATTGCAATTTTTAATCCCATCATCT